ATCTTGTCATCATATGGATCAAGGTACCTTGTATGTTCTGTTTCATTTTCTTCTCTTCATCGTTTGAACAGTATTACTAGCAGCGACAAATTACTAATCGAAACTCTGTTAATTGTTAGTTCACTTCAAAATTGGGGATTTGATATCCATTTTGCTTATGTGCGTGATTATGGATTCTATGGAAATGAAAGAGCTGATTTCTTAGGTAAAGATGCTTTACCCATAGATACAAATATCAGCATTCCAAACAATTATTGGAAGTCCTTTCATTATAAAAATCTTTTAGCTAAGTGGCATCAGGAATATATTTCATCTTGTAATGATAAGAGCACCAAAAAATTATTTTCTTCTGTTTAACATAGACTGCATTCCTAGTCTTTCCTCTTTATTCATTTTAAGGTGTCTCAGGTTTTATCCGGTCATGGTAAATTTGCAGCTGTCCTATTTCGTTTCAAAGTAAAATCAAATAATTTATGTGAGTGTTCAAAACACGTACTTAAAGATGAGGAACATTTAATTTTTTCCTGTCCTGCCTTCGATGGTCCTAGATTATGCTTACAGAACGGTTTGAAAACGTTTGGCGTGACTTAAGCAGTGAACTTATCTGTTTTGTTAAGTCTAAACTGCTGTTCCCTGTTTTTGTTAATTTTATTTATGTATGTAATATTTAATGTTTTATTAATATGGTTAAATCAACACGTGTTTGTTTAGTTAAAAAAAGGCTTCTGCAAGCTCCGTGTTGTACATTTGTGATGCACGGGGGACTGTATGTGTTCGAAATAAACAAAAGATCTTTTTAGATGAGAAAACGGATGATATAGAAAAATTTTATTACTGCGGTAATCAGAAGAATTAGTTAATTGTACGGAATCTATTTAAATGCCTCGAATAATTAATTTCTAACAGTCCCAATGCGCTAATTAAAATAAAGTACTTTTCTTACTTAGGTAGTTGATCAGAAACCATTTTCCCAAAAGACACCAGCATTTGGGTCAAACGCAAATTTTTGCATTTTAAGCGATTTCTTAAGACCTCTTGAGTTCAAATTTATCATCGCAAGATTTTCAACCCAATTGTTCAATGAGTTTATTAAACGAATTAAGAAAAGCATAACATAAAATGGTAATCTATTTATAATGATTTAATAGCGCCCGTGTTTAAAACCCTCCTTTCTCACCTGCAGTTTTAAAACCTTAACTTCTCAAGCTATTACTATAAAGTGTTTCTCCCGCCTTCTTAGCATGCCTTCGTGGTGTAATGGTCAGCACACTCGGTGCGTAATCGAGAGGTTCGAGTCCCGGCGAGGGTATTGCTCATTTTTCATTTCTCCTGCTACCAAAAAAAATTCTAATAACTTCACACTACTTCTACTGAAATTTAAGCATTTAAAATTAGCAAAATTTTTAAAGGTTATGAAATATCTACTCCAAAATATTTAAAAAGCGTTCAATATCAATTTGTTTTAAAGTCTCCAGCTTTAGCTTTTGCCATAAACGTAAAACCAAGCTGCATGTTTCAAGAATTCTAAAAATACGCTCTTTGTGGATGTAACTTTTTACGCTGAAATAAGTATGAGGTACAAGGTACATAATAAAAATAAATGTAAGGGATTAGAAGTCAGAATGTGATCATCGTATATTTTAAAAGCAGCATAATTTGTCATCTGACACTTAATTGTGCAATTGATAAAATATACATTCAGTCTTGAGGATATTTTATTTACATTGCAAATATTGTCTTTATATAACCAATCATGCATTCGAAGCTTATATGTACCATTCTGAGTGCACATTTGTATAAGTAGAAGATTACGCATCCAATGAATATTACATGGTGGAGCAGCCTGAGGTTTGTAAACATACTTGTATTGTTATTGTATACTTGTTACTGTGCTTGAATGCAGAATATGTGTTTTTAACTTGTAAAATCAACATGACACATAACCGTAATATTATAAAAATATTGTAGAGAGTGGATATGAACATAATACAGAATAATATAGAACATAATATGCATAGTATAGACTAGTACAGAACACACTATACACAGTATAGAAAAATACTGTAAATAGCTCTGAATTGTCTAATCATACTTCCGTATATTGTTTCCGTATATTCCCTCCAAGATTATCCGTGTAGCTTTTCTTATCACGCTTGGGCAATGCATATCATTGTCATCACTGTAAATTTATTTTTTGCTGATTGTCATATGTCATTATTATGCCTTTCAAATTTTGTAAGTAATTTTAAAAGCTTATGATAATTAGCACATTATTATTATAACTTTCTTTCATACATTGGAGTTGTGTGCCACAGAAATACACTGCACATTTTAATGTTAGCTACATCCTGTATTATGCCCTATTCTACCCTTTCCTGTTAACTGAAGCCTGCAGTATCACTATCCTCTTAGCTTCTTGCTAGCAAGCAGATATTCCTCCACTGTTTGAACACAAAGCTGTAAAGAGCCTCGTTTGGATCAGCGGCCTAATCAATGATGTTATAAGGCATTTTCTCCCTCCTATCAGGACGCCTTCATGGTGTAACGTTAGCACACTCGAATCGTATTTGAGAGATCCAAGGATCAAGTCCCGGCCAGGGCACGGCACATTTTTCATCACTCCAGCATCAAAAATGCTAATGACTCTACAGTGAGGCCAAACTAAAAGGTGGTGTGGAAGTATGTAAAGCATTTTCTTCTCCCACCTTCCAGCGCGCCTTCGTGGTGTAACGGCAGCACACTCGGCGCGTATTCAAAGAGGTGAAGGCATCTTTGTCCAAATTGTACTGTTTGTCTGTCAGTCCATCACAATTTAATTGAGGGTCCATATTTTAATAGTCTTCGTCAGAAGTATTTTAGTAGCTGTGACCTGCCTCTCGACCTTTTAATTTCAGTACATGAAAGAAACAGGTCTCTATTATTTAATTTGATTTTATCTTGAGATTTTATGCTAGAATTTTAATGCTATATATTTTAATGAATCAGATATGTTATGATTTTAAATCAAAACTGCATATATCATTATCTGTATCTTAATCAGAATTTTATCCCAATATTTCATTATTTTACTACTTGCCTCGATTTTATAGGTGTGCTGTTGTTTTTTAATCCTTTGCAATAAATCCTGTGTTTGGCGCATATGACCTTAGAACTTTGTGCCATGAATCTACTGCCACCACCACATCAAGAGGTGAAGTTTCGAGTCCCGGCAAGGGAATTGCACATTTTTTATGTCTCCTTCTTCAAAAAAAAAAAATAAATAAATAAAAATAAATAAATAAATAAATAAAATAATTAAAAAAACTTAACGCCTCTACAATATTTAAATAGAAAAATAGTATCAACTCCTATCGCACTTTTAAGTTCACTACACATATATGCATGAAAAGAATTAAGATGATTGATCTTTATATGCCATTAATACCTGCTACAGACGTTTTTCGTTACAATATTGAATAATTAACACATAGATAAACGATTTAAGATTTGATCAGTACATTTGCATCATTTGTGTAATTATAAACTTTTGATTAGAGAGGCTTTGAAATGTTATACATGTTAATACTGAAAACTACAGACTTGATAATGGATATTCGAGAGATCTAAAAGAAGTTGTTTTGATTTAAAAAAGTCGCAACTGATGTAGTACCTCTTTCTTCTCATATTTAGTTTTAGTTTTGTCTTGGAAATCAAGAAAAAAAAACTATCATTTTGTGAAAAAAGGTCGTTTATTGGGATCTTAGTAGTATAATTATTATGTAATTCAATTATTTGTGCGCTAGAACTTATTTCTCTTATTACAAGAATATTCAAATATCTTTCTGTTTTATAAATTCTGAATAATGCTTCACCATCAAAATTAACTTACTTTACATTCAAATTATACTAATGCATTTTAATTAGTAACCTGTTATAATAATTTAAAACTAACATAAACATCTTTCTGAAATTAAAGAATTAATTAACTGTTAACAGTAACTGATAATATAAGTTTAAAAAACATAAAATGAAAATATACTTTTATATTCATGATAAACTATATCATGAATATAAAAGTATATTTTCATTTTACTACTAATAATATATTTTCAGCGGAGCCAATTTGAATACTATTATTTTTAATTTTAATTTATGAAACTGTGCTTCAGCTTCCAGTTTAAATATCAGATAATTCATAAAATGTTAAAAAAATTGATCTAACACAAAAAAGATGTCTATCTCTACATTATTCTCTTAGCTTTTAATTAGCAATTATTTTCTCATTCCATAATTTCATAAATGTGGGTTGCGCATTAGGAAAATACAGCTTTTATTGGAGTTGATTCTACAGAAAACTTAAAAGTAAATTACATTAATTATAAAAAACGATAAGGGCAAAAAATGCTTCTTAATTTAAAATTCTAGCTTTTTCCTCTTCTATATAGTATGAGATTCAGGTTTGAAGGCTGAGAATAATTTTGCTAAAAGTAGGAGAATGAAAGAAAAAGGTATCTAGTTTTTTTTCTTTCATTTCTGAAATTAAATTTCAATTCCGAAAGTATTGTAATTTAAGCTTTACAAAATAGCAGCATCTTCTGTCATAAATTAAATTAAATTCACGCTAGACGAATAGATAGATTATCAAGGAAAAAACAATTAATAATATCTTTTGAAGCTTATAGAATAAGCATATATGTTTAAATATATTTTTTTATCAAAAAGTTGCGCTCTGCTGGGTAATATATTTCATGCTTTCTGTAATCAAGGGTCACTGTAACCGTACTGACATTTCCGTGAGCACATGGGTATAATTCTAGGTCTCTTGATGCGGCAATGTGTGAGACATAAAAAAGCGGGATTGATACAGGATGGGGAAAAAGATTAGAAAAATCCCCACTAAAGTCACCGTGAAATAACAAAGTTTACCAATAGACGTTGAAGCGTATAGAAAGTGAAAAAAGACGGGGAATTCCGGTAAATGTCCATCTCGCTTTATTCAGTGTTTTTTATGTTGTCATATTAAAGAATCGTGAATGCCGATAGCACTTTCACTTGCGCTGAATACAGAGAACACAGATGGACAGTTCTGCTCTGGTTTTGAATTTTGTTACGATGTGTATGCTTTACGGTGAGTTGATAACGTTTTCTATGAGAGTATTTCATAAGGACATTCTGGCAGATTTACGATGAGGAATTACAAAGCGTGATCTGTCATTTTTTTATTTTTGTTATATATCTATAACTACGGCTGTGAGAACTTTCATGTAATAAAATGGTTAAAAGCAAAATATTGCTGCGTTAAAAGAAGATGGGTTGTTTTAATAGCCTGAACATTTTAAAGCAAAAACTTACCAGATTGTTAGGATAAATACTGTTTGCTATCTGCAACTGAACATTTATTTTTATTCGAAAAGGAGATTTTTGTTCATGAACTTGACACCTCCATTAAGAGAAAATCTCTCTGTCGTGGTAAAGCAATAATTTTTTGAAGTCTTGGTTACGGATGATGTTATTCTTTGAAACTCATATTGCATGGTGTTAATATTACAAATAACTTTTTTTGTTTAATTTCTTCTCAGTTTTTGTTTAAAGCAAAGTACTGATTGCTGTAATATAGGCTTTATGTTTTAATCACTTGGAAGGCTACTAATTAAAACAAAATAAACATGTTTAAAAATTAGTTTCTAATTAAAATTAGATGAGTAAAAAATTAGAGTTACTAATTATATAAAATTAGATGAGCATGTGTAAAACAATCAGTGTCGTTTTTGTCTAAAAGCAAACAAATTTCGAAACTTTTAATGTTATAACTTAGAATATTATATGAAATCTCTCTTTTGCTGTTTTATTTTTTCTCTTGACTCTTAAGATTAAAAATAATCTGATTAGATTTCTTTTGATCATAATTATCCTCCTCACGTCAATATATAGTTGCAGCTTACAATATGCTCAAGGAATGGCTGTATTGCAATAACAGTATCGCAGCAACAACTGTACAGGGAAGAGTGAGGGTTATTTTTTGTTTGGTTTATGTATAATGGCAAAGGCTCGAGGGCTATTCGGATATAAGGGGAGGGATGCCTTCGTGAAGGATTTTCTAAGGGGAACCGGATGGTATATACCCTACACATGGGGAAACCCATAAAAACGCCCATGGAGCCAGCCCGTTCGCGGGATTCGAACGTCGGACCGTCGTCAGATCTACCAATGTTCAGCGACTTTACCGTTTGTCGGCTGGTGGGCTGCAGGAGTGAAAGAAAATGTCTAAGAACTGTTTATAGTTAAGCAAATCTTTTAACACTAATTAAAACTCAGCAGAAATGAAAAACATTCGTTAACTGATTAATATATTGCACGTTTATAGGTGACCTCTTTTATGTTATAACACTAGACGTAGCGTAATACATTAAGCAATATATTTATAAATTCTAATGTACGATCTCTACCGCCCCGCCAGCGGCCGAGCGGTAAAGTCGCTAATCACTGGTAGTTCGGTTCAGGACTCGAATCCCGGTGAACAAGGCTGTTAAATGCGCGTTTTCATAATTTTTCCCGTGTGTTTCCGAGCCAGTGTCCATTAAAATCTCGGCCCACTAGCGGCCGAGCTTTAAAGACGTTGAACAGTGGTAGTTCGGTCAGAGGTTCGAATCCCGCAAACGGGCTGGCTGCATGGGCGTTTTCGTAGTTTTCCCCGTGTGTAACGTGTATACGAGATAGTTTCCTTTAGAAAGTCTTCCACGAAGGCATCCTTCCCTTTAGGCAGATAGCCCTCGTGTGCTTTGCCATAATTAAATAATCCAAAATCCTATCCATTAAAAACTCCTCCTTGAAGGCATCCGTTCTCTTAGACAATCATCCCTCGAGTGTTTACCCTTATTAAATAAAACAAACATAAGATATCTTGACCATTTCTAAATATTATTGAAGCAGCAATTTAATTGAATGTCATTGTTTCAGGTCAGTCTTATTACCTCTTCAGATATTTTCCTTCGCATAAGAAGTAACATTTGTAAAATTGTGGAAAATAAACGAGTAGCTGAGATTGTTGTTAAAATATGAAAGTTACGATAAACGTAGATAAATACTGCCTGACAGTATATATATGTATACATATTTATAAGTATATCAGTATATATATATATGAGTAAAGTCGAGTAAAAAAGTATATTTTTAAGCAAATTGTATATTTATGCTCTGTAAAAGTAAGACGATTTTGAGCGCTTGCGCAAAATTTTTATGAATGCCAAAAGACCAAAATAATTAAAATTTTGATTACATAACATTTATTACACAGATCAATGTATTAATTAAATTGTATTGATGGATAATGCACGAAATGTATTAATTTGGTAAATAGTTAAAACGAGAAAAACATTAAGAATTATTGAAAAGTAATTCATTGAGTTAAATCTCTAATAATATATTATTTAAATGAAATATTACCGGGTGTCATACTGTCATATGAGCAGCATCACCTCATAAAAGTTTAAGAAACCAAATTGTGAATTACTGCCAAATGGGGTTCCTAATTGAAAATAAATATTGTGAAATGTTGTTTCGAAGATTTTCAGTGTCAAACAATGGTTATCACTGAAAACCTTCGAAACAACATTCAGTGTCGCGAAACTAGCGACGCTACCGAGAACTGCGCATGCTCGCGCCATTGCTGTGTGTGTTTTCCTGAGCTCTGATTTTTCAGCTTTATTTTGATATAATGAATGTGTGTAAACTATTTATTGTGTATAATTTTGTTTGTGCAAGTGCTGTGCATTATATTTATGCAATTTGCCTAAAGTTGAAAGAAGTATTGTTAATTTCATGGCTCTTGCAAAATTTCGGTACAGTTAAGCCTAGCACGACGATGTGTTTACATCTTTGAGAACTGCCACGAAGTGAAGAAGTGCCAGGCTGGACGAAGAGGACGATGATGCGTTTTATAGGGCGCTTAAAATGTTGCTATGATAAACTTGAAACGGCTGTTGAGTCAAAGTGTAATATGAACCAGAATATTCGCGAAGAGGCAAGACATGCAGTGTCTGAGTTTAAGTGTTTGATTACTAAGAACTTTGAACGTATTAAGTCGTTGGGTTATCGTGAAGCTTGTAGGGAAAGTCTCAAATACATTTTCGTAAAACCAACGTATGCTAGTTCTGTGCTGCAATCTCTTGTGGACAATGTGAAACAAAGTTCTTTAAGTCGTAGTCTTGTTGTTTCTTGGAAAAACCGTTCGTCAGAGGATATTAAAATGATTCTTAATTTAAAAATTAATTCTATAGCGAAAAAAGTGGGTGTTCTCAATCTGCGAAATAATGGAAGTGGCAAGGTATTGATAGAATGCCCCTCTGAAAACGATTTATAAAGGCTACAATCTGAAATTCAAGTAAAATCACTGGAATTAACTGCCTTTCCTTCCAGACGAAGGAATCCTACGCTCTTAATAAAAAATATCCTTAATGAGATAAAGGATGAGGATGTTTTTAATGTTTTAAAAAATGAAAATTAAGATGTTATTGCTTCTGAAAATAATGGAATGAATCTCGAATTCGATTTACGTTACGGAAATTTCAAAATACGAGACATTTAGTTGTAGAACTGCATCCAGACATGCGTAGAGGTAATTTACAGGAATGTAGATTAAATATTTCTTGGAGTATTAGTGCCGTGGAAGATTTTATCGTGATTAATCGGTGTTTTAATTGTTTAGGATATAATCACCGTACTGAACATTGTAAAAATCCTCCGTGCTTGTTATTTCTGTGCACGTAAACATAAAAGTAAAAATTGACCACATAAGAATTTGAAAATTTGTATTAATTCTATTAGACGTTATCGAAAAATAAAAGAATGATAAACAAATTATAAATGTTAGCCATTTGCTCTTTTCTGAAAGTTGCTCTTGTCATGAATTTATAAAAAGTCAAAATAGTATATCAAGAACAAATTATGGATAATAGTCATAATTCTATTTTAGACGTTATTCAGATTAATTTACATAGATGTAAGGCAGCAACTCAGCAACATGTTTTGAATATAGAGGTAAATAATGCTTATGTTGCTATTGATTTACTCAAAAGCCTTACTCTTATCATGGTCTTATGCCTGGATTTCAGAGTTCCTTTAGATAATATTATGATTTTATTCAGAATTCATAAAGGCTGCTATTGTTGTTCGAGCCGAATTTCTGCCTACGTTTTTCGATTTTAGATTCTTGGATAATAATATGGTGACTCTTGACATTATTTTTAAAGATACAAAATATTTCTTATTTTCATACTACATTGAGATTTCCAGATGTATTGACTCAAAACAGAAAATAAGATTTACAGAAAATGAGTCTTCCAGGTTAGGGAGCTTATAAAGCTTATTTGGGGTATGGATTCCAATAATAAGTCTGAACTGTGTCCTTACAGTAAGGCTTGAGGAAAAAAGTTTCGAAATTTTGTCAGTTCCTATAACTTATATGTGATGAATGAGGACTGCGGCCGTAACTTTTGTTCGGAACAGGGATAAAGCTGTACAGATGCCACAATTATGGGTAAGTGAGAGTGAGAGTGAGAGTAAGCTTATTGGAGCAAAACCAAAAATGGTTATAATGCGCCAAACACGAGGTAGAAGAAATCATGAATGAATGATGCTTTGAAATTGCTTTGATGAAACCAAAGCAATTTATTAGCAAATAAAAAATAGACAAATGTACCAAATCCATAGTATAAGGTCATAAAAACAAGGCAAAAGCACACATTAAAATACAATACATAATCTTCAAAACAGACTACATAAGGTAATAAAAGCCAGTCTCTTTTAAATAATAATATAAATTACAACTGATATTTCTTCCGATTAAACGGCCGAGAGGTAAGTCAGAGCTATTAAAACATTTCCGACGAAAATTATTAAAATTGGGACACTCAATTAAAATATAACGGACAGATAAGACCAACATTACAATTTAAACAAACAGGCTCATTTTCAGCTTTCAGAAGGTAAGTTATGTGTAAGACTGGTGTGACATATTCTGAGGCGAACCTTAAGAACTTCCTCCTTACGGTTTCTATTAAAATCCCAATGCTCAATTCTAAGCTTTACACTTGTCAACTTGTTGTGAAGCTAAACATCTCAAAGTTGCTG